ATGGGCCACCCCTGGCTGTTCTGTTGCCCTGCCATCTCCCTGTCTCTGCTGGGTCTGTGGGAAGGGGGCTCCTGGGCTCTGTTACAGCTGCACAGGGAAGGGGCTGGGGCCAGGTTTGGCYTGGGAGAGAGGCAGTGGTGAGGGACTGTATGTGCCCCATGGCCCTGTGCATGTGCCCCTCTCCCCGTGCCAGGTTTGGGGCCGTGGAGGGCAGTGCTGGGGCGCTCCGTCTCTACACAGTGCAGGTGCCCCACAAGCGGGAGCGCCGCCCCCCGCCCTGCTACCTGACCAAATGGGATGGCAAGAGCTTCCTGCCGCTGCTGACACGGCCCTGCGGCTCCGAGGTGGTGTCCTGCCTCTCCATCAGGTAGCCTGGGGCCGGTGGGGGTGGGATGGGGGCTGTGGCAGCCCCTGCTCTGCTCACCACCCTCCCCCCACAGTGATTCTGGCACCTTCCTGGGGCTGGGCACGGTGACGGGCTCGGTGGCCATCCACATTGCCTTCTCRCTGCAGGTGAGCTGGGGCTGGGGGTGTGGGGCAGCCCTAATAGCCCCTGAGCAGCCCCTCACCCCTGCTGTCCCTGCAGAGATTGTACTACGTGAAGGAGGCCCATGGCATCGTGGTGACAGACGTGGCTTTTGTCCCCGAGAGCCGGCCGGGRCGGGAGCTGCTGGGGGGCCACGAGGCTGCCCTGCTCAGCGTGGCCGTGGACAGTCGCTGCAAAGTGCACCTGCTGCCCACCCGCCGTACGTCCASAGAACCTCCTGTGGGGCTGAGGTGCCTCTGCTGCTGCTCTGCCATGGGGGGCTGCAGCCTCCTCTCACCCCTCTCTGTCCCACAGGYTCCCTGCCCGTCTGGCTGCTGCTGCTGCTCTGCGCTGGCCTCACCGTGGCCACCATCCTGCTGCTGCAGCTCGCCTTCCCGGGCTTCCTGTAGCCCCCTGGCCCCCAGAGAGGCACCCTGGCACCTGGAGCGACCCCCAGCCTCGCCCTACCCCACACAGACTGTGAAGGACAYGAGGGACCAGCCCCAGCCCCGCTGCCCCCGCTGGTGCTCGGGGAGCAGACGAGGGGCTGGGGAGCCGTGCACGGCTCTGTCCCTGTGGGACTGTGCTGGCAGCAGAGCAGGGCTGGTCCTGGCATGGGGACATCTCCTTCCCCAGGAGAGGAGGGTCCTGCTGGGGCCCCGCCCTGCTGCTGCCATTAAACTGGAGCATGAAGGCAGTGTTTGTCCGTGTGTGCTGGGGAGCAGGGCTGGGGCTGAGGGCACTG